ATTGCATTTTTTTTACCCAGTCGTCATCCCTATTTATACAAAAAGTCATGTTAATAGGTACTATTTATGTTTTCTGTGTTACTAATATGGCACATAAGGTCTTATAGGTATGTGGTCGTTCACCTTAGTTTACATTACAACACAACGCGGATACGTACGTGTTTTATCTTAATGAAAAAAATAACCGTTTAATCATCTAACACGTGTGAATTAGACTGTGAGATGGTACGGCACGCGATCGAGCTGCTCCAAAGATGGGAAAGAATGCACATCGATCGCCCATAATGACTATGTTGTATAAACGCTTAAGAGTAGGCGTACAGCCAAAAGACTGTTCCTATCCATATCGTAGCGCCACCAATGAGATAGATCGAGACGAATTGAGTTTTTCATTAATTACTCGTAAACTACATATTACGGTTACAGTAAAACTGTTGCATAATTCTCTCGGCTGCAAACTGACTCACATGTTTATCAATTTTACTTTAAAAAAGAGGGTATATTTTGCAACAAGAAAATTTAGTGAATTTTAGGAGTAACTTTTTGATTTTTTCTATCGAGAAAACTATAAATTTCTTTAGGTTTTGGATGTGATAGACCCTAAAAATATGATGAATATTTTTAATTACAGTTTTTTAAACGTTATTTCTTTGTATAATATTAGTGTAATGTAAGTAATTTTAACTAATTTTGCTGTGAGCGCTCTCTTAACCAAGCTATTCACACTGCTGTTTCGAACCGAGTAGCTTAGGTTTCAAGGAACACTAAGGCTAATTACCGTTAGGGTGAGTTTTGTTAGGGCTCGATGGTGATTTATCGCTTGTCTTTTTTACTTAATTAATAATAATGTTAATTATATTTGATGCTTTACTGAAAAATATTCTTAATGAAAAAATAAATGTTATTTAGACTTGCTACTTAGGACAATAGTTCAAACAGACATAATATAAATGAAGACTAAAATAGTTATCTTTAGAAAAACTTAAAATACATCTGTATTGCAATTTCACTATAAAATTTACCTAAACCTAACTGGATCTATTTAAAGAAAAAAATAAGTATGTATACTTACCTATTTATCTCTCACTGAGTAATCCCAAAGTTCGCATAGGGTCCGGTACACTTAAGAGTGATCGGGTTTAGTTAGTTCACCTATCTTTTAACCTCTTTTTTTATATCTTCCCTTTAATTATGAAAATTTCTATTGTACACACGGCTGCACATCAGGCTACTATAATCTGTCTTTATTAAACTCTACCTTCTAACCATTAATGTCTAAAATCTAGTGAAGAAAGTTGACAAATTCATATAACCTAACGTGCCGTTCACTGTTCAGTACATACAGTAGTATTTTACGCTAATTTCATTGCATTACGGTATATAAAATAAATTGGATGATACATAAAGTTTTGTTTTCTAACATTTTCTTTCCACAAGGAAAGCGTAGAAACTAGAAATGGAAAATCACATGGATGACGACATATAAGCCTGTGGTTAGCTATCAATCGCTTAACTGCACGACTTATACTTAAAATTTCACTGACTTCTCGTCATGGATCATTTTATGAAGAGGATGTCATTAAAGATAGACATAAGGATTTCATGTTCATGATATTATCCGTAACAAGTAGTCAGTGTGATAGTGTGGTTAACTAACAGATGCGTAGTGTTAATTAACAACACTAAATGTATATGAAAAATCACAGTATTTTCGTCCTTACTTATTGGTGCACGTGATGAAAATCATAAAAATCCATATAACCTATGCAAAATCATAATTCATTATTTAAAATGACTAATATTAAAAATTGTAAAAACAGTTTAAATTATCTACTTGTATAGATACAAACTATGACGGATGATAATCTTAATTTAAATGATAATCTACTTGTGAAAAGCACGATGTAGGGTACCTAATGGATAATTTGTAAGAAAATTTTATAAAAGAGTTTAAATAACCGGGCTATATATTAAAATGTATTTTGCTTCATAGGAAGTAGGCGGATTTTAATATGCAGACAAAATTGCAAGTTTTCCTATTTATACACAATTACATTATATGAATAATCTGTCGGAAAAGGATTATGAACCTCCCATGTTTTGCAATTTGTTCAGTTCTCGTTTTTAAAAATAACATAAACTTCTATTCTTTAAAAAAAAGTTTTGTTTGGCACTTAAAAGTTGTACAGAACGTTTTTTCATACTACGTAAAGTTGATTTTTAATTTCTTCTCTAAAACACAAGTATAGTACGACACAGATGCTACCCTCATTTTATACTGCCATAAAATCTTATAAAGCTTCTCCCGGCTCAGTCCAGTCTTGAGCTTAATATCGTTGACAAAGGATGTCCACCAGTCTCGATGCAGTCTGATATCTAGACAAACGGGATTTACTTTCTATATATCATTCAATATTATATTTTCTGAATCTTGACGTTTTAAAAATCTTGTTCCTGACAAAAGTAAATTACAATAAACATAAAAGCTTTGTAAAACATATAAATGTTGTAGAATAATACTGCGTCTCGTGTAACAACATTTCCACATGACTCGCTGTTACGTATTCTGCTATGATAATATTAAATTAAGTACTAAGTCAATGTCAATGGCAATTACAGTATTACGTTTCTTTGCTATGACATAACACCTGTGACTTGCAGTGTACTTATTCAAAGGCTCCATCAGTTGATCTGCAGATAAACCTTGGTAGCTAAATCTTTATTTCTATATTTCTACATCAAGTAGCTTTATGTATCTATACTAATATTACAAAAAGGTAAAGTTTCTAACTTTGTTTTTAGGGGGTAATCTTCGAAAATACTGATGCGATTATGAAAATGTTTTCCCTAAGGAAAGCTACATCATACTCCAGACACTTCACATTTGTAGAAAATCAAAAGAGGGTTACCTCTAAATGACGATGTGAACAATTCTATCGCTAAAGTAGTACATTGGTTTAATGTAAATAATCTTCTCCTTAATGAAGGAAAAACAAAATGCTTAAAATTTGTACTACCTAATGTTAAAAAAGATATAAGTAAAGATATAATAAGATATAAATGTTAATATAAAAGATAAGAAAATGGGCCTTGTGGAAACCACAGTATTTTTAGGAATAACATTAGATTCTAAACTACCGTGGGGCCCACATATTGATAAATTGTTGAGTAGACTCAGCTCTGCAGCATATGCCGTAATGAAAATACGTAGGTTAGCTGACATAGATACTGCCAGATTAGTATACTTCATTTACTTTCATAGTGTAATGTCGTACGGAATCTTATTGTGGGGAAATGCTGCCGACATACAAACAATTTTTGTGCTTCAGAAAAGAGCAATTAGATCAATTTATAATCTTAGGATTAGGGAATCTTTAAGGGAGAAATTTAAGCAAAGAGACATTATGGCTGTTGCTTCTCAATACATATGCGAGAACTTAATGTACGTTCGTAAAAATATTAGTTTGTTTTCTATAAAAATTGATGTACACAATTTTAATACAAAAAATAAAAATAAATTAACGGTGCCTTTCACTAGACTGCAATAAGTTAATAACTCATTCAAGGGTCTTTGTGTGCGCTTCTACAATCATGTCCCAAGTAAAATACAACAATTAGATATCATGCAGTTTACATTTACTATTAAAAAAGCTTATTATAAGGTATTCGATTATATAACAGATAGAACGCTTGGACGTGAGATGATCCAGTAACTGGATAGGTGATTACTTCTTAACTCATTATCTTGTTTCCATTATTATTAAATGATTATGTTATCATTATAAGACCATAGTTTTTTTTCTTCTCTCTCTGATTATAATGTATCGATCTGGTAATGGCATGGTTTTTGTAAATGTCATTACTCTTATTGCTGGTGAGTTTCTTGCTCGTTCTTCTTACCAGCCAAAAGACGTCCTGAATGAGTGGTAGGGAAAACAAATGTTGGATGATTCAAAAGTACTTTTAAGAAGTCTATTTGAATAAAGTTTATTTTGAGTGCCATAGGCTATAATTTAAAGTCATCTAGAAACTTTCATAAGTTAGATAAGTGTGTCGAAAAAATTCGTAATGCCTGTAAGAGGTTTTGTCCACTACAACGTTTTATACCATGAATGTATTAGGAACTTGTCTGGCAAAATAAAATTCCTTCTTATTGAAAAATACGTTGAATATTGGGACCTGAGAATATTTTGCTTTACATTTATTATTGTTGTCAAAACAATGAAGAACTGAGTATAAAGTGATGACTGGTTAGGTATTGCCTTCTCTCTTTCTCTGCTGATTTGTTTTAATTTGTCTTCATTGTCTAAAATAAAGTTCCAAAGTTAATTTTGTATGTCATTAGCAAATTTTCCGATTCTCGTCTAGTCTTGATCTAGCGGTACAATAAACTCTACAATAATGAACGAAGCTGCTGTATGTTTGGCATCTAACAGTCGGTTCTGTCGGTTGTAGTGGGCACAGTAGACAATATCGTGATATTTTCGTACAGCACTAGATATGACACGGTACAGTGGAAACAATACCTTAAAATATAGTTTCAAGTCTAATTAGGATGAAACATGACTACGATGTAATGACATAACTGTTTTTAAGCACAGCTTGCTCTGAAGAATAATGGGTAATTAACGCAATCTTGCAATTACGACCACTCCGCGCATTATTTTCAGAATTCACTAAACTATGTATATTACATTACACATAAATCAGGTGATGCAAATCGGCCAAGTTCACGAGCATTGGGACAATTGCAAAACGTTCCCATACGTTACCGGGAGCTTTAAACAATAGAACAAAGCCTCACAGGTTTCGCTCGAAATGTAGCGCAACTGAAACCCTTTAGTTTCATCGCAGCATTGTAATGTAACATCATTGTTCGATTTCTATGATTCCGAACGCGCCTTAAGCATCACAAGAAGTTCTCTTTTAATTACATTTTTAAATTGTAATCTATATACCTTAAGACTATTTGATAATCTTTTCTAATGTTTTCTTTTCAGATTATGCGGATGTGAAGGATTCCTGTCTTCAGGCTTAAATGAATTTATCACTGCCAACTATTCCGACCTGTGGGTGCTTAATGTCGCCATGCTAGACCACATTCATATTAATTATAAGAAAAACGCTGGGTTCTGTAGACAAACTGAAAGGTGTCAGCGTACGTGACGTCAACGGGACAGCAGGGCTGGCGAAATGAACCTTTCCCAGGATGAGGCCCGGGCGGCCCGGATACAAAAATATAAAGAAGAGCGAAGAAAACAACTTACAGCAAGAACGGCAACATTATTTTCTGCCAATGTTACTGAAAGGTGAGTTTTTTTTTTTAATATTATAAAGCGAAAGTTTGTAGGTTTGGATGTTTGTTAGTTCTTCACGCAAAATCTGCTTAACGGATTTTGATGAAATTTGGTATATAGGCAATTCTTAGTCCCGGGTAACATATAGGCTACTGTTTATCTCACTAAATTGTTCCCTAGGGATAGAACTACTTCCAAGTATGCCTATTTTTGTGAACGCTACCTTAACTGTAAGAGATATCTCATCTAAAGAAAAGAGAGCTTTAAATTATAATAATTGTTTATATTAAAGTTCGCGATGGCATACATATAGGTTATATGTGCTAAGGTTATTCCACAAGAAATTTAATGTACATAAAAATTGTCGTTTACTCCAAATAAATCGGATTAGTAATTTAGATTTTCCTACGATGTTTTTGAGAAAGAAAATAACATATATTGTCGATTTTCTAAACACTATTTTGTATGCATGTCTCTATTACGATTTAGCAGCAATCTTTAATTATATTCGTAAACATTTAAATTTATAAACACTGCAGTAATTATATTATTGTTTTACTTACAAAAAAAATGAAAGTGATGATGGTTAGGAGAACGTTTAGTAACAAGAAACATCTATTCAAGGCGAGATTCGCAGTATACATACCCAAGAAAATTATCTGGAGTAGTTTAGGGCTTATGCAATGATGGAGAAGGATGAAAAATATTAGCTGGACGAAACTACAATCGATTGAATAAGTGCTGGGAATCATTAACGAAAAGAGACGGCTGCTAGGGCTAACGCGTTACTACATTCGGCTTCGTTTTGGTTGATATTGGATTGCATCCAACGTTCAGTATGTATTGTGAGATCACATATGTAATATGTTTAATATATCGGTTGAACCCAATGAACCATAGAACATTGAGTGCATATTGATTAAATTCAATATCAATTAAATCTAAACGAATATTGTCACGCGCTAAGCCTGCTGTTAAACATAGAAAACAAACAAGTGAGAATGTACGGACAAAAGTTTTGACACTTCGTACGACAAAACTTTTTTAACTTTTGGGTATAGAACTCTAGACAGAACCTAATTTCAAAAAATCTTCGCTAAATCATACTGTTGAATTTCCATTGATAAATAAACTAATGTCGAGGATGGCGTATACTACTACACATATTTCTTTTAGTCCTCAAGTAAGCCCAAACCCTCTATTTTTCGTATTGTTATTAAAAATATGTACATTTTACATATTTTGCATTCTTTTCATTTCTACATAATTATGTGCTTATTAATTTTTACATAGTCATGTTTGACTAATTAATGATTAAGGGCTTAAAAGATTTTATGCTGGCTACCAGATAATCAACCTCTCGAAATACTATTCGTTTAAAACATATTTAAAATACCGAATAAAAATTCTTAAACCTTTAATTTATTAAACCTAATTTGGATGCGGACGAAGATTTTGGCTAACTTTTTACAAGCAGACTTCAAATGAATTTAAAGTTGTAAAAATAAGAATTATTTTACGTATGTTACTTTTCAAAATTATCATTATTATTTTACAATATTTTAGGCGATACCTATCGTCCAGTGTCCAGTGGTTTATGTTATGACGTTAAAGATAATATAATTAACTTTAAATTTAATATAATACCAATACCACGCAAACGAAGTTGCGTGCAAGAGTTAGTATCTTAATAAATACACTTTATGGTATTTTAACAACTACAACATCATAAATATTTCTTATAGTTATTATAAATAGTACTGGTATTTGTTAATTTACTGTGATACTTGCGATTTTATACTATTTTGATAGCACAGTAGGTACTCAATAGTATGTTATTTATTCCAGGCGTACCAGAAAAGCAGCTGGACGAGCGCAATCGGATGATACCGGTGATCATCTCAAGTCATCGTCAGAGCTAAATCTCAATGCAGTTATTAACCCAATGCCTATAAGAACAACTCGTACGTCACGACTCAGGGCTGCTGCAAATCATTCTGACACATCCCCGTCCCCTAGAAAATCAAACAGAAGTTCTTCAGTACAATCATTGTTAGACGATGCTAAAAAAACACCTAAATGTTCCAAAATAATAGAAAGGGATAAACAAAGATCGGTCTTGCATAAGAGACAAAGCAGTGAGAACGTCAATTTGAAAAGTCCGTCTGGAACGTACAATTCTGATAAAGAAAATGGTGCTATTAAAACGAAAACTAAACATTCCACTACTAAAATAATCTTAGAAAAAGACACAAGTAATTTTTTAGAAAATAGTGATAATGCAAAAATTGTTATTGATAAAACCGTTTCTAAATTAGAAGAAAAAAAGAAGAAGAATTCGTTGATTCAAAACGAATTACTGAACTCTAATTGTGAAGAAAATGTTCCTTTATGTTTAGAAGAAGAGAAAATTTTTAACGATATATTAGCCGATTATTCCGACACTTTAGAAAAGAAGAAAATAGAAGATTTATTTGACAATCTCGTAGTCGATGACGAGAACGTCCAATGTAAACTGGAAATCGAAGATATCAACGATGTTAATATTATGAATGGAAACGTGGGTCTCAAAAATAGTCTCAAAAGTAACATTCCGATGCGAGAATCTATTGTAGAAATGAATAATGCTGTTAATAGTGTGAAGTTAGAAGATAGTGATTTAGTGCCAAAAGTGAAAGAAGATGTAGGGTCATTGCTTGGAGCCGTGTGTGTTCGTAAAGTAGAGAGATTTAGTGAGTTGCTAAGTAATTTATGTTCGCCTTGTGAAGCTGACGTTTTGTTCGAGGACATTTTGGTTGAGAACGGCATTGATGGAGATGGGAATTTGGTGAGTTAAATCTAGCACTGTCGTTAATTTATGTAAAGAATAGGATTACTCAAGCATTTGATGGTTTATTCCGGCAATTAGTTTATTGATACGTGGCCGCTGTACGTGATTGGCATTAATTAAATTATGTACCATAAAAAGATGTGCAATTAGTGAAACCTTATTCGTAAGATGCATCGATGTCTTTGCGAATACGATGGTACCGACGTACGTGGAACACCTCGAGTGTAGTTCACTAATTAATAACAATTTAACTTTCTATTATTGCTCTACTGGTGAAACTACCTTGCTTAAACGGTGCCATTTTAATAAAAATAGCGGGACTTATTTCTAATTTATACAGCTTCTTCGTAATTTATGTTGTATGTTATTTTGTGTTATGATTTTATTGGATTTATTTATTAGAGTCTCGTGTTCGAATACCCAATTGAAGTAAAGTTATTCTATTAGTCTAAGCTCGTCTGTCGGTGGGTATTGATTTTTAACTCTTGTCTGAATTGAGTGTTATGAGTAAGAGTTCAAGGAAAATTAAAATGATTTTTTTACAAGCCAAACATATATTTTTTAAGTTATCAAAACAGTCGTAATATTTTTTTTTTGTAAAATGTCACAATTAATAGCTTATACAACCAGTGATCGGATTTTCGGATGAATTAATTTTTGACTCGGAAATTATACAAGCATTTTTCTTGAAGTATTTTTATAAATCCTGTTGTACGATGTCAACTATGTAAATACAAAGTAATCTATATATGTAAACTATTAGCTGTTCGAAACAGTCAAATCTTTCCTTATAATTTTGTTTTGACTGTTTTGCTAATGAGAAATTAAGTTTCAAACTTTTATTAAACAAGTATTATATAATAATTAGGAAGTCTACCATTTAGTTGACATTGCCATTTATGTTACATTTATATTTTTTAAATTACCTATTTGTATTACACTAACATATTGCTTTTGACTCTAATTATTCCTACTCGTATTATCTGACAAAATGCTAAATTGAACGTTATGACCGCCTAATTAGTCATCTTGTTTTACGTTAATAGTTGACATAAATATTTAACTAGGAATTGTCCTATATTTTGGGATTATATATAGGTACTTTCTATGTTTACTATCGGGCATGAAGCAAGACGTTTGTGATAATATTGCTGTATTATTAAAATAAATAGTTAAATATTATTACACAATACATTGCTTAGATCCCCTGTAGCTAAAACGCTCGTATTATGGAAATCTGAAATGAAGGTAGGTATCCCAGCGTTCAGACCCGACAATAGAAAAAATAATTTTCTTTATTACCTAACCGGAAATCGAATCCAGTACCTCACAGATGACCTTGTAACCGGCGTGTGAGCCACTCGGCCACGAAAGTATTTGGAATCTTAGTGTAATTAAGATTAAATTCACGAAAGGTTACCTTTCCAGGAGATACAGATTTGAAATCAGAGATGGGCAAAATATGACCCCGAGTTACCAAAGCTTCGTCCGCTGGTTGTCCCCTTTTTGCATCATTTTTCATTAGTGCTCCATTCCTATTAGTTATAGAGTTATATAGCATTTAAGTAGTATTACTCATTGAATGGAGTATTCAACTCAATAATATGTTTTTGATTCGAACCAGTAGTTCCTGAGATAAGCGCGTTCAACCAAACAAACAACAACAAACTCTTTAACTTTATAATATTACTAGCTTTCTGCCAGTGGATTCGCTCGCGTGGTACCTAGGGAAGTATTTATTTGAATATCAATATTGATTCATATCATGATAAGGCTATATTTACAATGACAAATTGAAAAGTAAACAATAGTTACTATGGAAACGTTTTAATTCTCTATACAAACTTCCACATGAATATGGATTCATCTCTTTAATTGCTGTATTTAGGGGTAAAACAGCCTATGTCCACCGCATATGATGAAGCTTTCAGTAGATGAAAGAATTTTTAAAATCGGTTCTGTTGTTTCGGAGCCTATTCCAGGCAATCAAACAAACAATCCAATCTTTCCTCTTTATAGTATAGTATAGATAGATATTACTAACTTTCCACCAGCGGCTTCGCCGAAGAAAAGTACAGAAGGCTAATATTTTAAAATTTTCTTTATTAAAAATATCTATATGAAATAATTAAAACTATTTTAATACACACTACAGTGCGTTTAATGGACTAATTATAAAAAACGACAAATTTTTAAGGGAATTTCGACAATTGGGTGACCTATAATATTTTTAATAACTGACTTTATAGTTTCTAGTAATTGTGAATTATCTATCATATGCCCTTATTGTACTAGACTTTAATTTTATTCTTCATTATTCGTTGTTAATGTTTTTATCTTATATTTATTTTATTTATCATGTCTTTAGGTTGCATTATTAATGTCACTTATACATTAACTAAGTTTATTGAACGATTTAATAACAAGCAGCATACATACATGGTACCATAATAATATTTTAATTAGAATGGGTATAGTGCAAGTAGTAGTTTAGATAAAATGTAGCTTTCATAATAATGTAAACTCATGGGGGATTCAATACGAACATTTTATTTTAAATTATCATCATCACGAACACTGTTGGACATAGTATAGGCCTCTCCAAGTGCACGCCATCAAATTCTATCTTCGGCTACTCGTAACTAGTTTCGGCTACTCGTACCTTGCGAAGACCGTCTTCCTACCTTTTCTGAGGGCGTCCCACGCTACGTTAATTAAAATATGATGTTTAAAAATTATAACATATATTAAGTAGACACAAAAACTAATTTAAAAACGGCAGTTTTATAAAGCAAGCCGTCAAAGCCACAGTTAAATCATTAAGTTTCACGTCGTGACACTGAAGATGGCGCTTTGAATAAAAAATATTTCTTTATGCTTAGGGATGCAACGATATTTCGGAAAACCGATATATATCGACGCCCAAAAATATCGATATCGAATATAGTTACAGATGTATCGATATCGAAAAATTCAACATATGGAAACCTAATATCGAATGAAATCCAAAGAGTAAATATATATCAGGTGTCCAAATTTTAAAATCCAACGGCAGCTTTATATTATCACAAGTAATATGAGAGACTCAGATGTCACAATATTTTGTAACCCTGATTTTTTGCTTTAAAATGTTTGTAGACTTTTATTATCCAAATCTGTTAATTTTTGTTAATTATTATATAAAAACATTTTTAAATTTACCAAAGACCTGAAAAATATATCGATTATCGGCTTTGTGAAGCGACATTGTCTGATATAAGTATATCGAACTCGATACATTGATATTTATATGAAATTTGCATCTCTATGCTGGATACTCTTGTTAACAGTAATTAATTAGTACTAAGCGCCATCAATATTATTATGGAATGAGTCATTAAAAGCCCAAGTTTAAGGAAGCAGTTGCCTTCCTCCATAACTGTCGCCACCTAGTGAAAAAACTAGATATCAAAAATAGCCTACCTCGGATTCTTCTCGTACGCCAGGGTATCACGCAGCGGTTTTTATCAGGTTAGCCGACCCCTGCTTTGACCTTGCCTCTTTGGGCACCTGTCTCAAGTACTCAGACTAAGACTTCCTAGTGGTTGGTGGCTCTTAGTTGAGGCACAAGAAACATTTCTCCTGCGTTAACAAAAGGAAGTAACAAAATAGCTCAATGAATTGGGCGTTAGGAAGGCGAAATAAATTGCTATATTCCTACAAATAAATCATGTAATTTCAGAAGCGCATTGGTTCAGAGGGAGCCCTGTAAGGCGCCCGAAATAGGGGCATATGGTGCGGGAATGGTCCTCTTTAGGGCTGTTTTCGTGTATCGCCTTCCATAGAGAAAGAATTTAGAGGGGTTAAAGTGGGTATGCCCCTGCTTTTTAACTTTAAAGGTTAAGTTAAAATAAATAAATAAAATTAAGGATAGCTCCGCAGGGGAGTCTCACAGCGGGTTATGCGTGATATACTTATTTCCCTTTGACAAAGAAATGCGCATTAAATATTTATCTTATTGCTGTTTGGAATAGTAATTCCCTTTTAAAGTAATCGCGTCAATGTTTCAGTAATGTAGATCCATAACCATGTCACAGATTTTATAATACGGTAACCATGCTAAAAATCATAAACTTCTAGAATATTCATAATATTGTTACAAATAGTATAATAGTATAATAATAATTGAAGTATAATATTGTTACAAAAGCAGGTAGTTGTGAGAAACAATTTTGAACTCTGCACAAAGTACAGAGGCGAAAACATTCATATTTTAATTAGGGTTTTAATCACAATGTTAAAAAAGGAATCTAACCGTACTAATTGAATTGCCCTAGCGTCCGTTGCCCACTTAGTAATTCAGCTCGCAATTTATTACTTTGCTGGTACTAAATATATTTTTAATAAACGGCGGTTTTCAAAGTTCAAAACTTATTTTTTCGTATTTAAAATTAGAAAAGGTTGGTGCTGGTAAATAATAAAACATTAATATTTAGCAAATGATCACTCGAAAACCCTGCCAAAAGCTAATTAGCAATATTAGTTGCATTCGTTACTTCAAAAGTGCATATCGATAATTTGTTAGTAGTCGAACTTGACCCACTCCTCGCCGTCTCCGACCACCCCAAGTATGGCACGAATCGTTCGGACCTCAACCTTAAGTTGTGATTATCTCGAAGAGAATATCTTAAGTGGCTATATGTCTAAGCTTTCAAGTGAATACTATCACGGGCGATTTGTTTGTCTGTATTTATTAAAAAGGGTAGTGAACATTTCGTATTTTGTTTTATCAAAATAGTTGCCAGTCAATCAACTTCTGCATCTGAATCATGTTATCATCAATAGGAACAGGAATTATACAAAATGTCGAAAACGTCATGTGTTCGATGTATAAGCCATCAAAGGTTGGCTGAAGGTGCCATAGTACATACAGCTGCACGACAGTTTACCACAATATGTCAAATTTCTGCAATGGATTTTGATCTCTATTTTTCTTTGGAAATTAGACAGTTTCTTAT